GGTGTACGCAGAGACCTTGGGCGAGTTGGCAGAACTAGCTACCCCGGCGTACAGAATCAGCTGGGCCCGCGACGTACCCAGAGATCACAAAGAATCCACCAACTAGCACGTTCTCCTGGGTGAGCAGCTTGAGCGCCGTCAGGTTGTTGGTGCCAAACCTGATTCGGAAGGGGAGCTGTATCCGCAGCGGGCAGGGGAGTTTGGGATGCGCACCCCACGCCTGGCAAAGTGCGCAATCACTATGGGGAAAACCAGCGCAAAGCGGCAGCCGTCGATGCAGTCAATTCGGGGCTTGGAGACCTGCAGAGTGCCAAGAACATTGCAACGCCTTCCGCAGTTTTTGTTGAACCGGCTAGCCTAAAAAGCACATCTTGGCTCCCTTGCTGCACGCCTTCACGGGCTTGACTTCCTGCTTGGCGTCCGGTGGCATGGCCATGGACTTGGCATCAGCCTTGCAAGTTACTGCACCCTGTGGGCAACACTCCAAAAACACCATGCTCGCAAGTGGCATCGATCTTCTGCGGCACGGCGCTCATGTCGAGTGGCCTCAGCTGAGCTGAAGCAGGTGGAAGAGTCCGTTTTGAACCCGGTCACGTTGCCGCCCTTCAGCTACAAGCCCGCGGCAGCACCGAGCAATCTGCACAGGAGGCTTTAGGAGGGCTGTTTCAACTACAATCCAAGAGCCATTCAGCCAATCCATGTAGTTTTCATTGGCTCAAACCCGAGAATGAGGATGCACGAAACCAAACTGCTGAGCTGTTCCGAATCCTGACCATCAGGAACCCTCTGGAATGGGACCATGTCATCCCATTCGTGGCCTCCCCTTGCAACACGAGCGTTTTCCTTGAAACTTCACAGAGTAAGCTACGCACACCTGAAACTGGAGCGTGAGACGCGGCTGTGTGGAATTATATCCTATTGCAAATCCAGACCTCTCTTTGCAGAGGCCTTGGACCCGCAGTAATTGACGATGACCTTGCGTTCTTCCAGTCGCTTACCAATCAGCCTCTCCTCGCTCTCTGGTAGTTCTGAACAGCTTTGCAGACTGGAAAAATCTCAAGAGAATTCGATCCAAACAATTAGTTTGTGGGCTAGACATCAAGACCAGGTTTGGTGAGGCAAACGATTTACGCTGCATGTTGTCACCAACGATGGTCTCGTGTCGTCAAGCCCTGTGCTGAAACCGCGCTGCTTGAGCATCAACAAGGCCTTGTGCCTAGCTCGCTGTTCCTCATTTGCAACGTCAAGGTCTCAAAAATTAAGCACGATCGCGCAACATGCCCTCAGTCCATTCTGCAAGGACTTGAGCTACCTTTCCGGAGACCGCAGCAACCTTTTTGCTCTTCACGAAGAACTCCTCGGTATGCACGTGTCTGTTGCCTCTTGGTGGGGCGGTCGGGCATTTCAGCTGTGTCTCGCCAGCAGCGGAAATCCTGCACTTGCACATGCTGCCCGAATTGCCGCCTAGCTTCGTTGGTGAGATGGCTCAAGGCCAAGCAAATCAGCAAATAGCACCTCGGCTTGGCCACGCATCCTGGCAGGCTAGGAACCACTTTTTCTTCAACCTTTTCACATGCAGACGCAAGAACCATATTTGAGCAAGGCTCGGGAAGAACCTCGTTGACATTGGTCCACCCCAGATCTTCTTTGCGAGTATCTGCATGATAGCAAAAACTCATGTCAGTCACGGCTTGGGACATGCCCCAACCTTTTTGTAGAAGATCTGACCGATTGGGCCATGCCTGACACATCACACAGTACAGGCGCAAAGCTGTTGCTTCTCCCTGAAGCATGGCACTAACATTCTTTTGGCTAAGATGCAAGATGAACATGGGGAACGCAATGGATCCCAACGTAGCCATCGGTTTTGAGCCGAAGAATCGCGTAATAGGAGCCTGGCAGCACAGCCAAAAGCGTCTCGCAGTTCTGTACACCTCGTACTGGAGAATCATCTCTAGTCCGACTGCAGATCAAGCTGCAGGATTTGCAGAAAGAGCATCCCGATGAATTTGCGTCAGGAACTTCGTAAAGATGGGAACAAACAGCACGCCGCGGATGATCGCATCCTGAAAAACGACACATGTGTCCAGAAACCCACTGGCATGAACAGCTTCAAGGCTGCCACGTTGAAGTCAAACGAGGTCAAACGCAATGCCAAGGAGGCATAAGCAGCCAGAAAAAGCCAAAGTGGGTTCCTGGATGGACACAACACGCACTAACTGGCGCCGAATGATGCTATCTGTTTCCGGCCCTGTACTTGCTCCAAACAACCAAGTTTCAATTCAATGTTTTCCATAATCGTTTCCGTTTGATGCCCCATTATTTGGGGTTACCCAAATCCCCTGAACCCATCCCTGCTCCAAGCCGCGTGGTCGGCTTCTTCTTGTCTTCCTCTGTGTCCAGCATCACATGTCGAACAGCCGCAACCCCCATGGTCATTTCGATAAGCGCCCAAAAGGGATGGAAGCGGGTCAAGTTCCAAATCCTAGGTGTGCGCATAGACATAGCTAAGAGCAATCTGAGTCAACAACTTTGTCACACGCAACTGGGGCTCATGCAAAGGATACATGACCTTTCCATCCACCTCGGCAGGAATCCCGAATCCCGTGTAGGATTCACGAACGTAACGTCATGGCAGCAGTGCACAGATAATCCTCTGCTAGCCAAGTATCTGGATGCTCCTTGCTGCTGTGAAACCTGGAGGTCTCAGAGTAAGATACCTGCGAGCGGCTTGCTTCAGACCAGAGAACATGAAGGTAATGGCATGGCGTGCATGTTCTCTACATGTTCTATGTATCTCATTTAGGATGTATAGCTGCGTCTCAAATCTCCGTCTGCAATCCACTGCAAACGATTGCATGCACAACGTTCTACGTCATGTATGAAGCCTTCTGAAGCAGGGACATCCCTGTCAGAGCAGCGAAGAGTTTCTGCAGGCCTCAGAATCAGAAGAAGTCATCGCAAGTCAATCAAATCTTTCTTAGCTTGAAGTGCACGGCATTATCTCTGCATGTACTTGGACCAAGTAGCCAGATTTGGAGAGTTGTGCCACTTGTGGGAGCACGAAGGTGGGCATCGTGAGGTTGGAGAAGGTGAGTGCAGACAGAAACCTGGCACAAAGTCGATTAGAGCAGGAAGTATGCATGGGGGACTGGGCCCAAGGCCAGGTGGGCTGATTCCAGATCTCCGCCTCCTTTGGAAACCAAGCCTGCATAAGCAGGAGCAAGCAAAAGGATAGCAAACACATCCTTCACGACGGACGTTTAGAAACACGCCTGAAGCATGCTGAAATTCAAGAATGCCCTGAAAGCTGTCATCGTCCAAGGAGTGTTGTACCACCTGCGGCTGCGCACTGCATGCACCAACTCTGTTCTTCCAATAACCTAGCTTTCAAGAACATTGCCAAAATGAAATCAGCACCTCTCGACTTGAATGAACATGGGGGCAAAAATCGCAGAGACAACGAAGTGAAGCGGATAGTATGCCATCACCTTGCTTGCTCTACAAGCCTTGAAGGCCCTTTGCAAGCCACTGATTGAGAATCCAACAGCTCGGATGAATTGCGGCATACAACACGCAACCCAAGCGGCCCTCTGCCAGAAGAATAACTCGGGATTGGCGAGTTTCTTGTCCTCCGCCTTCCGCTCGCCGAGCTTGGTTGAAGTGTAAGCAGAAACCTGTCACAATCTTCACTTGACATAATCACTGGAAATCACTGGAAGTTTGGATGGTGGCATTTAACAGCCGTGTCTGGAACTTGTACGATCGTACTCGATGTCCATGTCATGTCAGGTATGGCAGGCTTTACTGTGTGAAAGCATCTTGGAATCTGCCAACCAGAAACAGCTCTGGGGACACGGCATAACCAGAAATGACGAAGAAACCTCCAACGAGAACGTTCTCCTGCGTCAGGAGCTTCAGCGCGGTGGTGTTGCTGGTTCCGAACCTATCAACGATCTTTTCAACTCAGATAATAGACACCAACGGAACAACAGATGACCTATTCCAACTGACAACAAGTTGCGGGTCGGCCTCGCGAAATGGGCAATCACGATCGGAAAGACAAGCGCAAATCTGCAGCCGTCAATGCAGTCAATTCGCGGCTTGGACACCTTTGGCCGATCACGTGTCGAGCACACGTGCGCGAAACATCATGTCAAATGCCTTCTTCTCTTGTGGCTTTGCGGCCACCTTTGCATCAGCCTTGCCAGCTTCTGCCATGTCAAGCACCTCATCTGCCGGTGTGCATTATTCAGGAACATAATCAGTTGCAGGCAGCATTGCGGAATTAAGACATGCACCAACACGCACCACAGACTCCGGACTCGGGGCACCACGCAATCTTTGAGCCTACTCGCTGCATTGTGACAAATGAACCGTGGAAATTTTACAATAGCCAAAACAGTGTATACCCAAGACAACGACAACATAATCTTCATGCTGCATATGTATTGAAACCGACGGCAATCCAACTGCATGCGGTTGCAATAAGCGTGCACTTGCTCAAAAACTTTCATGATACTCATGCAATCATTGAAGATATCGTAGGGACCAGCTTTCTCTGGCAGGGTCATGACCAGAACGCAACCCTGGTTCCATTGGCCCAGTTTGAAAAGGTTGGTTCATGACATACGCTAACCCTTGTACCGTCAATGCTGAGCCCAAAGCTCCATGGTGGTTTTCCATGAAACGGGTGCAGCGAAACACCCTGCAGCCGTTCGTGACTCGGCCTTGCCATGGAAGCAGCCTCAGCAAGAGTCATGGCAAAGCGACCACACGTGCGATTCTTTTGCCTCGCACAACGCGAAGCTTGCGATTCAAAAACGGGTCTGCCGGCTGCAAAATTCACGTTGCAAGAACACAGTTCCAAAATTTTCCATTGCATCAGAGCACCAAGGAATGTAGTTATGCTGTTTTTCCAGTTTTCTCATATTCGTACTTGTTATGCCAGTATGGTGTCCAAAGCATGTTCCGTACGCGTGTCAAAAACCAGAAAGCGCAGCAAGACAGCGAGCACTGCGTCTTGGCACAGGATGCTTGGGAAATGTACGTGCGTCGGTAGATGAGCGTATTCAGCCCCCTAGTGAAACTGCGTGAAACTTGAAAGCGTTGCGTTGCAATGCGTGTGGTACTAGCAGTGCGATGCTATGCACTGCGTGCGATGGCAAATGCGTTGCTCTTAGGGTGTGATGGGTGGGTTTTCAATATCTCTGCTGGTTCGAACCCACACTACAGGAACATGTAGTGCAGTACAATGCAAACGCGCAGGACATGTTAAAGCATGCGTGACCAAAAAAACACATGTCACGTTCAAAGCATGTTCCTTACGCGTCTAACGAACCAGAAAGCGCAGCAAGACAGCGAGCGCTACGTTTTGGCACACGATGCTTGGGAAATGTACGTGCGTCGGTAGAGGAGCGTATTCAACCCCCACTTAAGGTTCCCGCCAAATCCCCTTCCGCTTCATAGGTGCGGGGTACCTGGCTGGCAGTAGCACGCAAACCGGGGAACACATGAAAATGTGCTGCATGTGCAATGCGGCTGCGCGGCACGCTCCGTCTCATGCAGCTGTTCACAGAGGGTGCTGTGTTTGCTTGAATTCTTCTGCCCAGGCCGCGTGCGGCGGGTGCAGCGTTGCCGTGCATTTTGGCGATGCCAGCGAAGAGAGGGAAATGCGTTCCCTCTCGTGCTTGCGGTGCGAAAAACTTTGCAGGCGGTTCCTGCTGAGCTCATCTTCCCAAACATTCTTTTTCCCTGCGAGATGTGTAAGTGCTAGGCGAAGATTGCCGTGCGCTGACCACTCGGCGACAGTTTTGAGGAAGCCGCCCCTTAGGGGCTCCCTGGTCGTGAAGAGCCAATTGATGCCTGACTCTGCTGCAGTGTTGTCGGACGCAAAAGGAAAAACAAACCTGAAGTGCTTTGCGCGCATGCGTGCTACTGCAGTCATGGCCAATGCCAGCGGCGCGAGTTGCCTCGAAGAATGCTGTTCTAGCACGAATATATTCTAGCCACCACGTATTCAAATATATACAAATTCACATTGAAATTTCATTCACAGATGTACAAGCTCGTGCAGCTGGCGGCTAGAATATACAAGCAGGTGTTAAAAAATACTCCACGCTAAAACACATTTGAGCAAGCACAAATACCGTTCTAGCACAAATATACGCTAGCCACCAGCGTATTCAACTATATATACAAATGCACATATATCACCGTGAGCACAGAGACTATTTTGGCGGGATACATAGCACAGCAATCCAAATTCAAATAAGTGCTATGTAGGAAATATACCCAATAATTAAACTGTCAAAATAGAACTGTGCTCACGTCTCGCACCGCAGGGAAACCGCCAACAGTCTACGTGAGACACTTTGTACAGGACACGCCGCAGACAGCAAGTCAACAGCATTGAGCGCGACAGGCTCTGTGAACTCTTTCAGGCAGGCAAGCGCGCGAATCAGAATCACCCAATTAGTGAGGCCCGGCCACATGGGGGAATGCAGAACAGACCACCATGCACCATGAGTCGTCCTGCACCAGAGGTGAAGGTGATTTTCCTGACCAGACACCTCAAGTAATTCATCATGCCGCAAAGCGCCTGCAACTCATTCACCCCCACCAGTGACATGGGGGAATGCAAGGCAAACCGTGCACTATGGGTAGTCCAACACCAAAAGTGAATGAGATCCAAGCTACTCCAACCTGACAAGTTCTGTGGGCTTGCACTGCTCCTAGCCTCAACACTTACCACTACAAGAAGCAA